CAGCCTCCACAGGCACAAGGCATTCATGTTGGCAGGTGTACAATCATTATCCAGAACATGTAGAAAATCACTCCAGAAGACTCATTAGCGCTGTAGGCTGAGATCAAGGCTATTTGGAAAAGACATCCTGCAGAAAAAGGCTAGTACGTTCTCGCCCCTGAGAAAACGCCAGGCAGATGCATCTGGAAAAGGAGGAGGACAGAGCCTGGGATGAGTCATGAGAGGAGGAATATGAAACCACAGGATCATTGTCATATTTGTATGACAATTTCAACCCTTGTATGATATACTATCAAAAACAGTAAAAGTGTTCAAGATGTACAATAATTTTTGAGACAGCTCATTGGTATAGCATATGCAAAACCCAAGTCACTCCTGGGGAGTCTTAACTGACTTTTGGGTCTGCTGTCGGCACTGTCTTATGACCAGGGATCCTGGTTTTCTCTAATAACCAAAAATCCCAATTTTTTAAATGAAACACCATGATTATATATAATAATAGTAATATATATGAGCTAGACTGTTCTTAGTGGTAGCAGATGACAGAAGCTCTCAAGTTGCAGCAAGGGAAGTTGAGGTCTGATATTACGAAATATTTTCTCACTAAGAGGGCAGTAAAGCACTGGAACATGTTACCTAGAGAGGTAGTGGAGTCTCTATTCTTAAGACCCAGGTAGACAAAGCCCTGGCTGGAATGGTCTAGTTGGGGATGGTCCTGCTCTGAGCAGGGAGGTGGACTGGATGACCTCCAGAGGTCCCTCCCAACCCTAATTTTCTGTGATTCTAAATACGCATAAATAAACTGGTCTCTATTCTGTGTTTGGCTCAGGAATGAAGTAAGGAAGAAAAATGTGAACTCTGGCTGAATTAATAGCTCCTATATTTGTGCCTTGACACTCTGTGACCAACACAGGATGCATATAGCCAATCATACTACCAACAGAGCAGGCTTGCCAGAACAACAGAAAGTGATGTAACACTGGATTTGAGTGGTTTGGTACAATGTGGTCCCTGTGGCAAAACTTTTTTTGACCATTGAAATCACTCCAGAAGAATCATTAGCATTGTAGGCTGAAATCAAGGCTTATTGGAAAAGACATCCTGAAGAAAAAGGCTAATATGTTCTTGCCTCTGAGAAAACATCAGGCAGATAAATCTGTGAAAGGAGGAGGACAGAGTCAGGAATGAGTCATGAGAAGAAGAGGAAGTTCTAAATTACCAATTGTATTATTACCACAACACTTAAGAGCTCTAGCAGATAAGGAGTACAAACAGTGGAAAGAGTTGGTGCTTGTCCACAAATATGGTTTCTGTGCATTGCTGAACTGGTTCTCACTTAAGCTTATATTCCTCCTGTTGAAGAGTACTGCAAAGCAAAAATCTCACAATAAGAATGACATGTGATGTACACATTTCTGAATGTTCCTAGGCTGCTCAAATATGACATAAAATTATGTTTGAAATGTTCCTGCAGTAACTGCTGTGGTCAGAGTTACTGAGCATAAAGCAGCTACAGAGCATAAAGCAGCCCAGGGCAGCTGTGACACATGGGGCCAGTGACAACATCTGGCTGATTTTCATGACACCAACATAATGATGCCCTGCGATAGCAGCGTTTTTTTCTGCTTTTGCCTTCCCAAGTTGGATCCTGGGACAGCTCCCCCACTCTAGTTACAATACTGGCTATGGTATCAGAAGTAAGCCTTTGGCTGAATAGAATTAACATAAACTTCTTCAGTCATACTGTTTTGTCGGACTTCAGTTTATGCTAGAGGGATTTTTTAGTTTTGCTACAGCTTTTTGGGTAAAGAGTAAAGGAAGCTACAGGAACAATTGAATCCTGACAATGAAAGGAGAAAAAAACCCTTCCGCATAGCACTACTAGTAAAGGTGGCTTATGCCCATAATAGATAAGAAAGGCCCGAAACGTTCCAATGGTTTTGAACAGATACTGATACTAACCACAATATATGATTAAGAAGTTAGGATCTTACAAATACCTGAGAGGCAAGAAAGACTTAGGTAGTAGAACTATGAACTGAAGATTACTGAGATACAACTTAAAAAGTTAATTAAGTTATACAGAAACAGAGGTAAATCACTGTATAGTTCAAAATAAGAACTAAATGTAAGGAAACAAAAACATTGTTTGCAATGTTTAATTAAACGTGATAAATTAACAACACTTAACCAGGAATATATACATGGTATCAATTATGAAATTAAACCAAAAAGGTTCAAGTAAAGGAATTTTTTAAGGCCACATAAAAAGAAGCTTTTTACAGTGAAATGCAACAGGGCACATCTACACAAAGCACTTTACTGTGCAATAAAACTGATTACTGCGCAGTAAGTGTCTGCATCTACACGTGCAGATGCTTACTGTGCAGTAACTAGCTCTAATCGTGAGTAAATTTGCTACCTGCAAATGCAAGCAGAAAATTTACAGGGGCTGGGGAGTTTGGGCAGTGAACAGGCTCTCCAGCTCCTGCCCTGCGATCCAGAGTGAGGGCTGGGAACTGTCCTTGTCAAGGGGCAGGTCTCAGCCCTGTGCCCCAGTTGGCAATCAAGATGCAAGGCTTGGAAAGAGTTGCAGGTGTGGGGCAGGTCCCAGCCCTCTGCCCCATCTGCCAGTGGGGCAGCTAGCAGTGAGCCCCCTGCCCCCAGTAGGGGAGCTGGGACTAGGAACATTGTCCCCGCCCTGGCAGCAGGCAGCACCCCTGGGGGCATGAAGCAATGTCCCAGCCCCTGCCAGAAGATAGCTGTCTCTTTTCCCAGTGCTTGCTGCCAGATGCATGGCCAGAGGGGCAGGAGCAGTTTGCTGCCAGGAACATAAATCTGCTCCCGAAACTGTGCATGTGTCTGTAGATGCCTGCCCAGGAGCATTTACTCCCAAGTAAACTTTTTTCAGATCAATGCACGTGTAGACACACCTGCTGCCAACCTTTATATTCATGCAAGACAAGGGGCATAACACTATACTAATTTGGTATAGGCTCAGAATGAATGTGCTTAAAGGATAAAATGTGACTATTCAATAACATAAGCATGTAGAACAAAAGCTAAAACCTAGCAAAGGGTTTTAAAATCTTGAAAAAAATATCTAGGTGAAAGTATATCATCTAAGTTAATTAGCACAACAGTATTTCTATGAATAAACTGTTAGCACGTTCACATATAAACAAGTATAAACACTAACAAGCTACAAAAACCTTTCTTCTTTTAAGGTCTTCTTAAACCATGTTAAACCTATTGGGATCTGTCTTACCACAAACAAATTAGAATGAAAATTGTGTTAACATTTGTAGGAAGTGTTCACACACAGTTTGGATTTTATAAGGTTAATGATGCTAGAGACAGAGGCACAAAAATTAATCTCAGTGTTGGTAAACTAGATACATTCTATAAAGACTAGAAGTTTGAAATTAGAAGTAGTTTTCGCTTTTTCCAAAATAGCTCACAGCAAAGGCAGTGAGGGGGGGATGAAGGAGAAAAGGTGAAAGTCTGTCTCACACACAAACATGCAGTAATGCTTCCCAACAGAGGGAGAAGTGAACAGATTAGACAGAAGTCTGAACAATAATGGTTAATGATGTTTATATCAAGGTCATGCTCTGTTCCTTAGCTGATGCAGTGTTGCTTTCAGGGAAGCACAGGAAATAATACTGCTTCTTGGTCATTCTGATGAACTGAACTACTGAGATCTCAGTTCAGTGTGCCCAATTCCCACCTTAGTTTCTATCATTATAAGCAGTCTAAACCAAGACACTACAAGTTGTCAGAAGAAAGAAAAATCAAACTATGGCCTTCAAGCATGTATTAATATGCAAAAACTGCCCTGCCTATGGACTAAGAAGCCAGGAATACTGCAGAAAACTGGATTAAGTGAAAGGTATTAATTAATAGAGCTGATCTTTGCAGAATATGAGGGACATAAGTAGTCTCCTGCTCAGAAAGCCACTTTTTTGACATGTGTATAAGGCACAAAAGCAAGAATATCTGTAAAGCATAGGTCTCTAATGGGACAGTCATTGAAATAGGTAGGAAAAATCCATACAAACTACTCAGACTATGTGAGGCTTATTGTTTCCAAGGTAAAACAGCTCTAATCAAAGAAAATATTTTCTCGGAGAGACATCAGGAACCTACGGAAACAATGAGTAGGTATCCAAGCTGTAGTCCATAATAGAAGATTGCCTTCACAAATAGGGATAACATGCTGAAGTATATGACCTAACTTGAAGGAAATACAAGAAAATCATTAATTAAGTGTAGTGATCACACAGGTGCACATGAATGAAAAAACCTAAACACTGAACTTGATTTGTGAAGCAGCTGGCAACCTCTGCAGACCCTTTGTCTAGCTCTCTTAGGGCCGTGTTACACCTTGCATTGTTAGCCGCACAAATGTTGATCCAGGTTAATGCTAGCTTGGAGTTTTCAGCAGTTGCATCTTTAGTCTAGAAATCTCTCTCTCCCACCTACACAGCTATGACTTGCCACTAGAGGCCTGGTGAGCAGGAAGGTCCCTTCCAGCCATACTTCTCTATGCTATGCTTCTAAGGCAAGGCTGGGAGGGCAAGTGCCTAGCTCCCTTGGGCTAGCAGGGGGAAGACGAGACTGCTTGCTGCAGGGTGTGTAAGAGCTGATGGAGGTAAAAACCAAAGCAACTCCCATGAAACCAAACTAGCAGCTGGCCCATGGGACTATTTCCATGGGGCTAAGACTTGGCACCAGCTGCATTACAGGGGGCAGCACCCCCTGGTAGGATGGCTTGAGCTGCCCCCAGTTCCCCTCAGGGGCAGCTGTCCCCATGATCCAGGTCCAGAGCTGGCTTGTAGTTTGCTAGCAGGTAGCTGCACCCACTCCAGTGTTGAGGGAGGGAAGGAGCACTGCCGAGGCCAAGGCATGCCATCTCCCCTCCCCCCACACAAGTTGGTTTTACTCAGCAGCTGGGAGCAGAGTCCACCTGTAGCCAGTTTCTATGTCCACACAGGCAGTGGCAGAGTCCTGTGCCTGAAGCCTGGATCCACCTTCAGCCACCCCATCCTGGAGCAGCAGCTTCCTCCCGATCCAAAGCAGCTGCCACCAGTTCTCACTGCATTGCGTGTGGATCAGGCGCATGCAGCAAGGCGCTGCTGGAGCCGTGGGACTGGAGCTCTTTGCCCATCAGGAAAGGTAAGGAGCAAGCTGTAGTACAGGCAGTCTTTGACTTACAACATTTTAAGTTGTACAGTGTTTCATACTTACAATGTATAAATTGACACCCTGTTTCAGCTTTCTGACGTCAGTTTCGACTTTACAACACTTGATCCGACACCACGCCAGGCAACACAACAAACTTGTTCGCTGGCATATCTCCCTGGAGAACATCTGCCCAAACTTCCTTGGACACTGCCTTTACGATTTTCTACACGTTCTGGACAATGATCGTACACCTGCCAACATGAGCGCCTTGCGCCCCTGGAGGCTGGGGGGGGGCACAGCAAGCTCCTGCTGGTGGTGGTAAGCAGGAAGCTTCTGCAGGTGGCAGTGGCAGTTGGTGGTGGGGGGTGGGGAGGTGGCAAGCGCTGACCACAGGCAGACACCACCGGAAGCAGCCAGCAGTTATTGTGGACCGTGTGCAGACGCCACTGGCGGTGTCAGTGGCACCTTTTCCCACGTGGTGCGCCGCCACACTCAGGGGGTGCACATGCACCCATGTACACCCCCTACGCATTGCCAATGCCTGCCAACGCTGCCACACAAGTAAGAAGGCATTGGCTGAGGCCAGGTCAGCCCTGGCACCAGGACTTCTGCCCCTCTGAAATGTTCCCCCGCCTGCAGGAGAACTTTGCCTCCTCACATCTGCTCTGCCCTCTCAGAAACCGAGAGATCAACACTTTCATGCCCGGCCCGGCGTGCTCAGGAGGCGGCACAAGCGAGTTATTAAGGGGCTGCACGGACACATGCGCACCCCCGCCACAGGGCAAAGCACTCAGT